GTTTGACCATAATTGTAATAGCTGCTTTGAAGTCATTATCAGCTAAATCGAACATCTGGATCCATTCAGAGTCAATTTTCATTGACTTTATTATTTTTCTATCAGTCACATTTTCCTTTTTCTTAGCATGTCTCATAATTTTTTGTTGTTTTTATTGAAAATTGAATGTTTTAGGTAATATGGCAATTCTGGATTCTGAGTTTCTACACTTAGGGTTTTTTTTATTTCTTTTGGCATGAGTTTTTTTTTTTCATTTGTTTGTTTGTTTTTGATTTTGCAGTCTACCTGTATGTGGCTGCCAATGTCTCTGTTAAGTTTTTAATTTTTTAACTTGACTTTTTTAGAAGTCATCACTGTGTCTGGATAGCTTAGCAGTCACCAATGATTTGGGTAGTGTGATGCATAAACTCCTCTAGCCATAAATGTTTCATCCTCTTCCAGTGGATCAATGTATGAGTTAGAGCACATTCAAAGTTCCTCCAGGCCTTCTTGGGTCTTCCCCTGCCCATGCTTCTAATTTTCTAATCAGCCAGAGATGTGTGGAGAACTAATCTAGCCCTTCTTTGGATCTATCATTTCCAGGGTCTTCCCATAAATTCTGTCTAGTCTATTGCTTACCTCACCTGGAACCATATTGTCAGGCTTGCAACGCTGTGAAGGTTTTTTTCCTATTTATTTTTCACCAAATTTCTAAGAATTTTACTGACAAGGATGTTGTTGCAGGTCTTCAGCCTCTGAGCCTTATGGAGCATGTCCTCTCTGAGAGTAAGGCTGCTGGTTTTCATGACCAGTACACATTGGTAATATATAGTACCCATTGATCTAGGTTATGGGGGTAGAAGAGGAGGGATAGGAGCAGCCTCAGGCACAAAAGCCATTGACTCCAGCTATTCTTAAGTGGAGTTCTAGCACCTTATTGTAAACAAATACTTCTCAGTTTGTTTTGTTGCCTTTGGTTGATTTCCAAAGCCCCCAAATTGTTTTTGTTTTTGTTTTGACAATTTTGCCTAGTCTTGTACTTGTGTTTTAGAAAGAGACTTTTATCAGTCGCTTCACCATAATTGAAGTTCAACCCCTGGTATCTTTTTGTGAAATTCCTTTTTAAGATAACTTTCTCTATTCTTATACAAAATTAGTCTAAATTTTAAAGAGTAATCTATCAGGACAGTCTTTCAGTATTTTTACATTTATGATATATTTTCCCTTTGAGAGAGGAGGTGATTTTAAGTCTATCTTAGACTTTTCTCTTCTGTCTTTCTTACAGTTTTTCCAGATCTCACCCCACACCTATCTTTGCTTTCTGCCAAGGGTTACAGTGGAAGCTCAAGAGAGATCTCTTCCAGAATTTGGGCTTCACTTTTCTACTTAAGTTTGTAGACTCCTCTTTCTTCTTATCATGCCGAATGCATTGGATTTATGTGGTTTTATTTATTCTGGTTGATTTGTATTGCTTTGTGGGCAACTTATGAAGAGACTAGATGTAGGCAGTAGTCATTATCCTTGGCTACCTCCAAGACCCCACCATGTGTACCTTCACAAAGCTATTTAGGTGTAATGCGGAGCACATTGGTGAATTTTAGGTAGATTTAGACTAGAGGATAAGGAGGAAGAGAGGCATTTTGTTTAGAATGTAGCAATTTTGAGATGATTTTGTCCAATCATATAGACAGTGTTCATTAAACAGTTGTATAATTGGTCTGGATCTCAGGTAAGAGATTAGAAATTATTGCTTCTAAAAACTCTGGTAGAGTCCTTTGTAAACTGGAAGTAGAGCTGTAAATTCCTTTGTGGAATTCTTGCCTTGGTCTAATTCCTGCTTGTATTTCAGATTCACCTTCTATGAACATGTTTAGAAAACAGATAATATTGAGAGGTTACCCAACCAAGTAACTATTTTGGGGAGATTTATATTGTATTTAGTAGTTTGGCTGAAATGACTGAGAGCTCTAAATATTAGTCTGAGGAATCCAGTCATTATTAAACCTGCTGGGAAAAAAGAGAAAGCATAGATCAGTAGATCAAATCAACTACCTAGGAAAATAAGACAACAATGCAGGGCGGCACCTGTGGCTCACAGGTAGGGTGCCGGCCCCATATACCAAGGGTGGTGGGTTTGAACCAGCCCCAGCCAAACTGCAACAAAAAATAGCTGGGTGTTGTGGCAGGTGCCTGTAGTCCCAGCTATTTGGGAGGCTGAGGCAAGAGAATCACCTAAGCCCAGGAGCTGGAGGTTGCTGTGAGCTGTGACGCCACAGCACTCTGCCGAGGGCAATAAAGTGAGACTGTCTCTAAAAAAAACGACAACAATGCAAAGATTAAAGCTGCATAATTAAGCTCTTTGTCATATTTGTAGTTTCCCTCAGTAATCATAGTACTTACCAAGTAGGTTAAATTGATAAATCTTTAAAGTTTTATGGCAATAACTTTCTAAAGTGAATGCCTACTTTCTCCTATTTTCTTTTCCACCACTTGTAATTACAAAAGGTGTGCATGCTTATATCTAAATACCTGTAAGATTATAATACCTAAGTAGAAACATGGTATAATCAATAGGCAATACAGGATCTATGATGTATTTTCCCTGTGTTACTTGGGTATAATGCTTGAATTTCCCCCCTTTAATGAGACAGGAAGTAGAAACCACTAAAAAAAAAAGGCACCGTAAAGTAAAATGAATGTTAATTGTCATTTACACAGGTAAACACTCTTCCCTACCTGTTATACATTTGTATAGTGGCAAGTGACAGTGTATAGTGGTTTCTTTTGCCATTGAGATAATATGTAAATGGAAAAGAATAATTATTGATGAAATTAAAAAAATATGTACTAAGCCAGTGGTTCTCAACCTGTGGGTTGCGACCCACAGGAACTATATTAAAGGGCCATGGCATTGGAAAGATTGAGAACCACTGGACCAGGCCACGTGCCATGGATCACTCCTGTAATGCTACCACTCTGGGAGGCTGAGGCAGGAGGATTGCTTGAACTCAGGAGTTCAAGACCTGAGCAACAGCAAGAACCTATCTCTACTTAAAATAAAAAAAAACTAGCCAGGTGGTTTTGTGCCAGCACCTGTAATCCCAGCTACTTGAGAAGCTGAGGCAGGAGGATCATCTGAATGCAGGAGTTGATATGAACTAGGCTAACCACACGGTACTGGGGCAATAGAGTGAGACTTGGTCTCAAAAAAAAAAAAAAAAAAGTACTGATTTGAAACATGAGAAATTGTACAGGCTCTTTCACTTGACATTTTATTAATACCAAGACTGGATAAGGTGGTTCTTTTAAATTGTGCATTCGTTTGAATTAACTGAGAGGTGGTGTATAGGGATTAAAGTTATGTTCTTTGGAAACTGTATGAGTTTTAATTCTGTATCAGTTTTCTCATCTGTATAACTGGATAAAGATAACACTTCCTTATTAGAACATTTGTGCAGATTATATATAATTTGCATAGAACAATGTTAAGTGCCATTATTAGATTATATGTATTAACAAAGTTCTGCTGAGTGAAGTGGGATGAGACTTTTGAGACTAATTAGAATTTTTGTATTTTTCATTCCTAGACTGGTGTATATGTTGGCCTTATTTATCATTTGACATGTAATCCAGTCACCAAAAAATTCAGGAGTGGGTGATGCAAGACAGAAAAGTTAAACCCAGTATTTCTATAGAGATCACCATGAAAATGAAAAAGCATTCATGAAGAATTAGAGGAACCTACTTCTTTGTGTGCTTTATCATTATTTTCCTTGGTGGTTAAGAATTTATGGATTAAAAAATCGAATTATAACAAAGATATTTGTATCAGAATGTTTATTGCAGCCCAATTCATAATTGCTAGGTCATGGAAGAAGCCCAAATGCCCATCAACCCATGAATGGATCAATAAATTGTGGTACATGTACACCATGGAATACTATGGAGCCCTAAAGAAGGATGGAGATTTTACCTCTTTCATGTTTATATGGATGGAATTGGAAAATGTTCTTCTTAGCAAAGTATCTCAAGAATGGAAGAAAAATTATCCAATGTACACAGCCCTACTTTGAAACTAATTCGTAGCTTTTATAGGAATGTCATAACCTAATTATAGCCTTAGAATATGGGAAGGGGGTGGGAGAAGGCAGGGGGTGGATGGGGAGAGGGAGGGTGATTGGTGGGGTCACCTCTGTGGTTTATCTTACAAGAGTACAAGTGACTCTTTCTAAAAGCAGAGTGTGAACGTTTTAACTCAATAGCTAAGAAAATGACATAAAGGTTATATTAACCAGTTTGATGAGAGTATTTCAAAATGTGTATGAAAACAGCACACTGTACCCCATGATTGCATTAATGTACACAGTTATGCTATAAGAAATTTTTTTAAAAAGAATTTATGGATCTGTTCCTCTGCCGAAAAATAGCTAAGAGCAATAAATGAAGCCCTCAGAGGATTTTGTTGCCTTGCTTTTAAAGGCTGCTTTGTTTAGCAGCCCACATTGTCTTTGTCTTTCCGCCACCAGGTGGAAGTGTAACTCTTTGTATGAAGTCTTGTTACACAACTCTTCTCAGTGTTTGTGGTAGTCATGAGGGCTGGAAGGGCAAAGATAAACACCACATTCCAGAGGGTAAGAGTGTGACACGCTCCTTCAGATGGATTTTACAGCAGCATATTTCAATTATCAAATAGAGGTTGATGAAAACAATAGATTGGATAAGTTCTTTTTTTTCAACTGAGGTGAATGCAGACCCGTTGTCAGAAATAATATATGAAATCTTTGTGATAGCTGGAAGGATCACTGAGGACTAAACTAAACTAACAAATAATGTCCAAATGTTTTCAAGTGGATCTCAAATTAATCAATGGAAATAAATCTTTGGCACACCGGGCAAATGGGTTTTATATAAACTGTGAAAACATTGTCAGTTGCTTGATTAAGGCAAGTCAATCTTCTTTTCCAGCTGTGACATTACACTGCAAGTCAATCAATATAACAATTTAAGTCACTTCAACCATAATGGAAAAATATGAAAAATTAGCTAAGATTGGAGAAGGATCTTACGGGGTTGTATTCAAATGCAGAAACAAAACCTCTGGACAAATAGTTGCTATTAAAAAATTTGTGGAATCTGAAGATGATCCTGTTGTTAAGAAAATAGCACTAAGAGAAATCCGTATGTTGAAGGTATGTTAACTTCCTCTATATATCTGTAATATCGTGGTACTGGGTGAAATATGTGTGCTGAAAGTACAAAGAATATTCAAAGTTATCTTTTCCCCATTGGACTTAAATTCCTTTGTGTCAGCAACTTTGGGAAGTAAGTTGATCCCCACTTTGGACTTTGGCCACTCCGATGTTTCTCTGCTACCTGCAAGTACAGCTATAGATTGTTACAGTGAAGTACTGCCGTTCTGGTTAGTGAAAATCCATGCTGCCCTAAGTCCTCCGACCCTATTGTTCATGCTCTCCCCAAGCCCCCACAACACTGGCCCTGCTGTGGACATCCCCCCACCCAAATACTTCCCCTCACTAACCAGCAACTAAAAGAGCCCCTGCTGACACAGCAGGTCCCACAGGACTGCCATTGCCCAGCTGGACACAGACATTGCTTGGTCCTTGTCTGTATTGTATGGCAGGTGCCCAGACGCACTGAATATCACCCCAGTAATGCATACATTTTTTACATTAAGGTTTTTATTATTATTATTTTTACTCTGATAGGATTGGATATGTAAGATTTATAAATTCTCAGTTTAAATTTTTCTTCTCCTAAAAACTTCACACTTTTAAAACCATCAGGAACCTTAGAGATGCTTCTTATCCAGTGCCCTTATCACAGGGGAAACTGAGCTCACGGGTGGCTCTTCTCAAATGTTAATCTGCACTCTGGAGCACTCTGGGAGGCCAAGGAGGGGCAGATGGCTTGAGCTCAGGAGTTAGAGGCCGGAATGAGCATGAGTGAGACCCTAGTTCTTAAAAAAACAGAAAGAAAGAAAGAAAAAGTTAGCCAGGGATTGTGGTGGGCCCAGCTACTTGGGAGCCTAAGGCAGGAGGATCATTTGAGCCCAAGAGTTTGAGGTTGCTGAGAGCTATGACGCCACAGCACTCTAGCCTGGGGGACAGAGTGAGACTCTGTCTCAAAAAAAAATAAAAATAAATAAAGTTAATGTGCATAGGAATTCCTTGGAGGTCTTGTTGAAATGGTGGTCTTGGGTGGGCCTGAGATTCTGCATTCTAAGAAGTACCCAGCTAGTGCAGAAGCTGAGGGTTTCTGGGCCACACATTAAGTAATAAGACCTTGTGATTTGGCTCAATGCCTGTAGCTCAGCAGCGAGGGCTCCAGCCACATACACCGGAGCTGGCAGGTTCAAACCCACCCGGGCCTGCCAAACAACAATGACAAATACAACCAAAAAATATCTGGGTGTTGTGGTGGGTACCTGTAGTCCCAGCTACTTGGGAGGCTGAGGCAAGAGAATCGCTTTAGCCCAAGAGTTGGAGGTTGCTATGAGCTGTGATGTCACAGCACTCTACCAAAGGTGAGACTCTATCTTAAAAAAAAAAAAAAAAGGCTTTGTGATTTTCTCCGGGACAGCAGACCTTCACTTTGACATGTGATCTGTTTTTTTAAGAAACCCAAAAATCTAGTTTGTGTAGGGGTATAATAATTATCTATAGCAATTATAGTATCTCTTTCTTTCAAATATCATCTGCAGTAGGTTTTCTCAAATAATACATTCTGGTGTTTTGTTTAAAATATAATTTGAGGCCAGGTATGGTGGCTCACATTTGTAATCCCAACACTTTGGGAGGCTGAGGTGGGAAGGTCGCTGGAGCCCAGGAGTTTAAGACCAACCTGGGCAACACAGTGAGACACCTGTATCTACAAAAAAATAAATGATTAGCTGGAAATATGTGACTGTAGTCCCAACTGTATGGGAGGCTGAGGCAGGGATTGCCTGAGCCCAGGGGTTCAAGGTTGCAGTGAACTATGATCATGCCACTGCACTCTATCCTGGATGACAGAGCAAGATCCTATCTCTAAAAATAAATAAATATGATATGATATGGCATGATGCACAAGGATTTTCAGGAACACAAACGTCATGATTAAAAAAAAAAGAAAGAAAGAAAGAAAAAGAAAGAAGAAACAGCTTACTGTTGTCTCTTAGCCAGCAGAGGGCTCAAGCCAGCCAGCCGGCTCTGGCATCTGTGAGTGGACTAAGGGAGCTACAGGCAGGATCTGAACCAGGCAATTCTGTTTTCTAAAAAAAATAATGGTTGTACCCTTCAGCCTGTCCTCCCAAGTCTTCAGATAAAATTAATGCTCAGCCTGTACCTCTGGGTTGCAAGGGCCTCAATTTGAGAATGAGCTTTAAGGTAAAAATGTAGCCAGATTTCTCATGCAGGTCTCTGGCGATGGTTCCCAGAGTGCAGTGTCCTTCTTGCTTGGTGTGCGGCAGCATGCATGCCATGAACAGCCTCCTTCCGTGATGAATCGGGCGTACCGTCTCCATATACTCCTCTTCTTTAAATTTGATTTGCCTCCCATCCTTACTGCCTGTTTTACTTTTGGCAAGTCACTATTTTTCTGGGTGAAGCTAACTCCATTTGGAAAGGAGATACAAATTGCTGGCTTACTCAGAGAAAGGAGATTTGACCAGGTTAAGCTGTGGAATTGCCTGAATGGGTAGCCCCTGTGACTCCCCCAGGTGCCCCTGAAAGGGACCCTGCTTTGCGTCTTTACTGCGGTTTGGTGGCAGCACAAAGCAGCTGGCTTTCTGTATGACCTGGCTCATCCGCTCTGCGCCTTGCTGCTCTTTTAGGCAGTGAAGCGCATAGAAAGTAAATTGGTTCCGTGCTCTTGGAATATCTTTTCCTTTTTTTTTAAGAGACGGAATCTTACTATGTTGCCCTGGCAGGTCCTGAGCTCCTAGGTTCAACAGTCCTCCCTCCTCAGCCTGGGCATATTTTTAATGTACAATGGATTTTTTTCCCTCAAACTATTGACCAGAAGGCACATAGTTGTAGGATGGTATTCTTTACTCAAGCCATGCTTATAGATGCTGAACTCCTGCAAAATACTTGTTGAGTTTCCACTATATACGAAATACTGTGTTCTCTTTATCTTTCTGAGTGAGTGGTATAGGATTGGGAAAGCTGATTGGTCTACTACATCGGAAAACAACAGGGACGATGAGTTGGGAATAGGAGTAATCAGATATCTATCCTGGTTTGCCCAGCACAGCCCTGCTTTATGGTTTTTGTCCCAGTGTCCTATCAGGTTCACATCCCCTTTCAAAAATGTCCTGGTGCATATGCTAAACCGTATGGTCACCCTAGTCAGAGACAGAGTGACCACCTGTGCTGCTTTGTCTGAGATAGTCCTGGTTTATACCTATTGCCCTGGTTTGGATGGTAAACTTACATAGTGACTCTAGCGATAGACTGTCTTACTTGATCAGCATTGTTCTTTGGTTTTACAGTATTGAACAGAAGCTCTTATAAAGCGCTTTGATCTGGGAATAGAACTGAACACATAAAACATCTAAGTATAAGCCTAAGAAAGAACAATAGAATCAAATAACAGAGCTGAAAATACAACAAATAAATTTAAAACACAGACTAACTGTAGAGACTCCTAGAATGGGCAGTTTAATCAGATGTAAGGATTGAGATCTAGTCCTGATGAGAGCCAGCACTAGAATCCAGCTGAGTGTCAATCTAGCTAATATTTACATTCGATCCATGGTAACATGCAACCTAAGTGAGTACTAGTGATATTTATAGCCTTTATGCAATCGTTCTATTGCCTTAATTTTTTATTTTAATTTAAAGTTTAATAAAAACTACAAAAAAAAATTATCTTTAGGGCAACTCCTGTGGCTCAAAGGAGTAGGGTGCTGGCCTCATATACCGGAGGTGGAGGGTTCAAACCTAGCCTTGGCCAAAAACTACAAAAAAAAAAAAATTAAAGTTTAATTTATGACTTGGATATTTAGAGTCTTCATGAAATGCATAAACTATTTTCTGTTTTAATGATTATATTTTAAGTTGTGTGCTTTATTGGCTATCACCAGAGAGATTCAAGCATCTATTATAAGTACTTTTGATGAATTCTTAAATTGCTTCCAACTTTAAGTTTTTATGATTCTTGCTAAGAACAGTTTCTGTTATGAGTAACCGTAATAAACTTCTCCACAAGAGAAGCACACAGCAAGCCTTGCCTTCTTAAAATTGTAAGGGGTCTGGGGAGACACTGTTACTAGAAACAGATACTAAATTTTTGTCTACTTTCTATTTCAATTCCTTCACAGCAATTAAAACACCCAAACCTTGTGAACCTCATTGAGGTGTTCAGGAGAAAAAGGAAAATGCATTTAGTTTTCGAATACTGTGATCATACACTTTTAAATGAACTGGAAAGAAACCCAGATGGGTAAGTAATCCAGAAACTATAGTTGTGTTTGGCCAGTTCTCAGTTTTATTATATGTGGAATTAACTGTGGCAAATTTCAAATCCCGGCCATACTTCCCTTTTCTACCTGATGCCTCTGGCTACCCCTCCCCAGTGTCAGGGTGTGCCCAAAGGGCAAATAAAGATTTACCTAGAGGAATTCTAGTTAGGAAGACAAATCTATTGCAAATATAGATCTTGTTGCATTTTGAGGCTGACTTAAATATTGGATTATCTGAATTTAAGGAATAAGCCATGATTCAATATTAGGAAATGTATTCATATAATTCACTAATAAATTAAAGGATAAAAAAAAGATTGATAAAACTTGAAAATTTGAAATGTTGATAAATGCAATATCTTGTCCTGATCATTTTTTTTAAAAAATCTTAGTAAATAGGATTAAAATAATAGTTTCTTAACACACGTGCACACACACACATGCACTCATAGCCCTTTAAATCAACAGCCAATTTTACACTCAATGGTAAAACACTAAGGGAACTTCCAGGAAAATAAGAAACAGGACAAGGATGTCACTTACCACCATTATAATTTAACATTGTTCTTAGCGCTCTAGCCAGTGTAACACAATAAGAAAAATAAGTAAAATGATACAGCTTTTGGAAATGAGATAAAATTGTTCTTTGCATGGTATTATTCTACAAAATCTAGGAGAATTACCTAAAGCAGTGATTTTCAACCAGTATGCCACAGCACACTGGCGTGCCATGAGAGTAGCTTAGGTAGGTAGGCCTTGAAAAATTTCTAAAGATCATTAATAAAATTATTTTCAAAAAGTTCAAAGCAGAGTAAGTATATTCCTTTTCTTACTTTTTTTTAATCAAAATTATTTAAATGTGCCACAGAAGTTTAACTATAGGTTCAAATATGCTGTGAGATTAAAAAAAAAGGGTTGAAAAACAACTGACGTAAAGAGTTGTTCAAACTAATGGAATTCATGATAGTGACCCCCATACTATTATACTTTAAAAAATAGCAATTACCAATCAACACTTTGGAAAATCTAGTGGAGGGAAATCCCATTCAAATATTAACTGTAACAAAAAGAGGTTAGTATTACAGATAAAAAGAATTGCTCAGATTCTACATAAGACAACTATAAAACTTAACTGAGTTACCTAAAGGATTTTATTTAAATGAATACATATTTCTGGATGTATATATTCCTTATTGTAAAAATATTACCACTTTAATTAATTAATTTATTTATTTTAATTTTAATTTTTTTTTGAGACTGTTTCACTACGTCACCCTCCATAGAGTACTGTGGCATCACAGCTCACAGCAACCTCAAACTTTTGGGCATAAGCAATTCTCTTGCCTTAGCCTCTCAAGTAGCTGGGACTACAGGCCCCTGCTACAACACCCAGCTATTTTTGTTGTTGTTGTCATTGTTGTTTAGCAGGCTCTGGCTGTGTTCGAATCCACCAGCCCCAGGGTGCATGTGGCTGGTGCCCTACCCACTGAGCTATGGGCGCCAAGCCTTTATTTATTTATTATAAAAAATTCTAATCAGAATACTGAGAGGTCAAAGACTGAAAATAAAAGATTATTCTGAAACGTGAACAAAAGGAATCAGAGTCCAAGTTCTATGTGGCTAATAGCAGCCTTTATTCCACTCTGGTGCGACTGAGCTGAGTTCAAGAAGGAAGTCAGCACATGGATTAAGTCAGCACCTAGTTAAGGTGACCAGATTTTAACATTGGTAAAGCAGGACACCATTGGGGGGGGGCGGGGCCTGACAACAATGCAAACTTTGATAAGCAGTTCTCGGTAATCAGTTCTCAACAATTATTTGTTACTATTAAAGTTTAACATTATAAAATTAACAAAAATAATATAAAACACATATCCTGGCTAAATAGCCACATGGCAGCCGAAAACCATATATTCCCTTCCTGTTCTCCCGTGTTCCCTAGCTTGTCATGCATTCTTTCCAAAAATCGGGTCTTTTTTAAAACGCCGCAGGACACAGGACAAATTGTTAAAAATTGAGACTGTCCCACCAAATGCAGAATGTCTGGTCACCTTAATTAAGATGGATGGGAACTTACAGGGTGGGAGGGGCAGGGATTGCGCATTCACTCTTTCCTGGGTGGGACATTCATGTACTCATTTTTTCCTGGGCAGGATGGTTCTATTTGGGTAGGTTGGTTCTATTCAAGTCTATCATACCAATTCTTTTTTCTTTGAAACTTGAAAAAGACTAAATCATGACATTTTCCTTTTTTATTTTTGAGACAGAGTCTCATTGTGCCCAGGCTAGAGTGCCATAGTGTCATCATAGCTCACAGCAACCTCAAGTGCCTGGGTTCAAGTGATCCTTCTGCCTCAGCTTCCCAAGTAGCTGTGACTATAGGCACCCACCACAAAGCCTGGCTAGTTTTTCTATTTTTAGTAGAGTTGGGTTCTCAATGTTACTTTGGCTGGTCTCAGACTCAAATCCCTGAGTTTAAGGGATCCTCTTGCCTCAGTCTTCCAAAGTGCTAGTATTGCAGGCATGAGCCACTATAACCAGCAAAGAAATTTTTTAAAAAGCAGAAAAAGAAGAAATAAAAAACTGGAGGAGGTCTTTAATTGCCAAGTATTAAATCATGATAGTTTTAGAGACTCCCTTTGACAAAAAAAGTACCATCCGCAAAAGTTAAAAAAAAAAAAAAAAGGAAAATTGAGCAAACTAATTTGCCAAAATGAATAAATTTCATAGCTGCATATGCAGGTTTTACAGCTAATTCTTTTTTAAAAAGACCAACACCCAAATAGAAAAGATATTCATCAAAAAAAACTTTGATGAACACATACTATGCACCTGGCCAGGGGCCAAGCCTCAGGATCCAGCAAGGAAAAAACACACAAAGAGGGAGCCCAACCCCACAGAACTTACCTTCCCAAGGACCTGAAACCGCAAGTCATTAGAACAGTGAGGGGAAATGCCAAATCCAGCTAAGGACACAGGTTTATGCTCCCTTAATCAAGAAGTTCAAATGTTTTAAATAAGTTATCATTTCTCACCAATGAAGTATGCCAAATATTTTTCAAAAATCAATATACTTAGTGTCATTAATAGTCAGGGATCAGACCTCATTCACATCTAGAGAGCGTGTAATTAGAAGGGCAGTTTGATAAAATGTCTGAAATATTTTTAAACCGTTTTTATCCTTTGACCAAGAAAATCCACATAGAGAAATTTATAGCAAGAAAATAGATAGGGGCAAAAAGTTATACAAAAGAATGTTCAACATGTCATTTATAACAAAAATATTGGGACTGACCTAATTTTCCAATAGTAAAGAGTTGGTGCCATTTATTTTGGTACAGCCAAAAGAATCCATTAGAAAGCGTGCAGGAGAAGAACAGTTAATTTTCTGGGGAAATGTCTATGACACGGTACGTGAAAAAATGAGGCCACATAGTAGAATGTAAAGTGGAATCAAAAATTTATTTGGGGGCAGCACCTATGGCTCAAAGGAGTCCAGTCCCATACGTGGGAGGTGACGGATTCAAACCCAGCCCCAGCCAAAAACTGCAAAAAAAAAAAAAAAACAAATTGGCCAAGCGCAGTGGCTCACATCGGTTAATTCCAGCACTCTGGGAGGCCTAGATGGGCAGATTTCTTGAGCTTAGGAGTTGGAGACCAGCCTTAGTGAGAGCAAGATTCTGTCTCTAATAAACAAAATAGAAAAAACCTAGCGGGACATTGTGGCTGGCACCTGTAATCCCAGCTACTTGGGAAGCTGAAGCATGAGGATGGCTTGAGCCCAAGAGCTTGAGGTTGCAGTAAGCTATGATGATGTGCCAGCACTCTACCCAGAGTGACAGAGTGAGACTCTGTGTCAAAAAAAAACTATTTTATTTTTAGTTTTCCCAAAATTCTGTGAATATACACATATTACTTTTAAAATAAAAATTAATATAAAACACAGCTAAAATGTCATATTAATTCATAGTTCAACTTCACTAGGAGCTAAAAAGGGTGTTATACGTTGCAAGCATCCTCAAACTACAGCCTGCGGACCACGTGCGGCCCACCAAGGACATTCATCTGGCCTGCCAGGTGTTTTTGTTGCCTCTGCCTGTCCTGCTTAGCAGCCGACTCATCCCTGGGCCTGCAGTCCAGCCCTCCCACGGTCTGAAGGACAGTGAACGGGCTCCCTGTTTAAAAAGTTTGAGGACCCCTGATAGAGGATAGATGTGTTTAGCCATTCTATAAATAAACATACATTTCACTAAGTTAGAAATTTATGCTTACTTCATGGGTACTGTTCCAGGCCCTGAAACCAAACACACAATACACACACGAGATTAACTGAACCGAGCCTCTTTCTCTCTGCTGTCTGTCCCATAGGCCTCTTCCTGATGGAGACGTAGCTCGGGCCCTTCTTTCTTTAGCCCAGAGCAGCAGTTCTCAACCTGTGGGTCGCGACCAGGGAAAATACATCCTGCATATCAGATATTTACATTACGATTCGTAACAGTAGCAAAATTACAGTTACGAAGTAACAACAAAAATAGTTTTATGGTTGGGGGTCACCACAACATGAGGAACTGTATTAAAAGGATTAAAAGGTCACAGCATTAGGAAGGCTGAGAACCAGTATTCTAACCGTTTTTACTTTTTCTTTCTCTCCCATAATCTTTAAAATATGAGCTCCTCGATAATAATCTTAATATCCCCAAGATTCCTTCATCTGGGTGGAATTGCTTCCCTCCTTTGAATCTCCATGGAGTTTTATTTTTGTCCCTGTTATAGTACCTGGTACTTACTACTTTATTTGTTTTTATATGCGTACTCTCACCAGAGTGTAAGTTTTTAATAGCACAATTCATATCTAATGTATCTTAATAGCTTTGTCCTCAGTGCCTAGCATTCTTTCACTCATTCACTCAAAGACTATCTTACTGAGCCTTTACACTGGTACGGAGGATACCTAGACAAAAGGGCACAACCTTGCCCTCAA